TCAAATTTACCCTAATCCTTTCTAGTTTTACTACTTATTTTTCCTCCAACTCTGCATGCAGCATAGATAAAAAGGGGAAGAAGTCAGATGAATATTAGGATGAGAAGCACTATTAAATCATGCACATGCAGTGATCTTTAGCAGGATTACAGAGTGCAGGATGAGACCACGTCATGGGAAAACACAAGCACAGGCTTAAGCCTCCCTAAATGGGAAGGGAGGCTTAGCTTCCAGGTGGCCCTGTAGCCACCACCACTGACAGTGATGCAATAGGAGGTTTTCAACACAAAGGCAGTTTTCTAACAGTTTTTAGACACATTAGAGTTGCCCATTTTTCACAGCACTCAGGTTTGATCAAACCTCATCCTATTTCCCACCGGCCTCATGACAAAGCAGCATTCTCTGTGTTACTTAGCCATGTTCAAAACTCCAAGCATTCTCTTACAAGGCAAAACAAATGAAAACAGATTACCAAGAAGAGCAAACAGAAGAAATGCTCTACAGTACTTACGCTTCCAGCCCAAAGCTCAGTGGATTCTCCTATTAGTTTATAATATACATACACTGCTTCTCCCTTCTTAAAATTTACAAAGCGACAATCCGGACCTTTAAAATCCCGCATGGCCTTCCCTCGGCACATTAACACTGTCCAAAGAAAACAAAGAGAAGAGTATGACTTTAAAAATAATTTACATGAAAAGTGTCTTTGCTAACTGGCAGTAAACAAGACCTCGCATGCATCACTTTGCTATTTTCTAGATTGGGTCAAGAGATAAGAAAGTAAATTGAAAGTATAACTAATAAATTAATAAAAATACAACTAAATTGAAAATACAACTAAGAAATTTTTAGCTATAACTAACACAAACAAGCCAAGTTATAACTAAAAAAAAAGAAAAAAAAAGGCAAGCTATAGCTAAAAAAGTAAAGCAAGCATTCTAGTCAAGACAAGGGTTTGACAAAGCACGGGAGAACTACACGTCAGGGGTGAGCTATGAAGCTCATTATTAATGTTAAATCAGAAAGACGACATCTGTGTCCCAGCGAACCGGTCCCGAAATTATCCCAGAGAACACCCAGACAGCGGGTTTATCACGAGAGGGCTCTGCAGGCGGGGGAGAAAACCACACAGGGAGCAGCGGGGATCTGAAAACTTGGCCGAGTACAGAGGGACGGCGCGCGTGGGCGTCGCGTTCCCGTTTCCCCGATTCCCCCCAGTTTCCGTGCCAGAGCCGGCGGAAGGAAGGAGCTTAGGGAAGAGCCTCCGGGAGGCATCTTCGCCCACAACTCCCTCGCCGGGGCCGTGCCCGCCGCCCCCACTCACTGCTGCACTCGAGGTCGGCGCAGCGCTTGCGCTCGGCGAAGCGGCGGCCCAGGTCGGGCGCGGCGGCGGCGCAGCGCGGGCTCGGAGGCGGCGGCGGCAGCAGCAGCAGCAGCAGGGCGAGCAGCAGCCGGGGCTCCGGCAGCGCGGCTGCAGCCATGTCGGCGAGCGCCGCGGAGGGAGGGAGCCGTCTTGGGAAGGAGGGAGTAGACACGTCAGCAGCGCCAGCGGGAGGGCGATGTGGCGGGGGAGGGACAAGCCCAGCCCCGCCGCGGGAGGAGGGTAGCGCACGGACTCTCCCTCACTCCCTGCGAGCGGCAGGATCCCGATCCGGAGGCGGCAGCACCACCGACCGCTGCGCCGAGCAGGAGTCCGGCTACCTTTCCCGCTTCGCAGGCCAGAAAATAAGGAAGGTCCTGCCCCTTATTTGTGCGGGTTTCTCTAGATGAGGATCGCAGGAGTAGCAAGAACCTACAGAAAGGTTGTAGCTGCCGCCCTGTAAGGACACGACACATCCGAACAAGCACTTGGCTGCTCTCCTTTCTGCCCCGCCGAGCAGTTCTTATCTCTGCTGGGGAGAAGCAGCCGCCACTCTCCTGGTGACCTCCGACAGTTTGAGGTTACACCTGCGGTGCAGCGGACGGAGGAGCTCATTCAGCCGTGATCCCACTGGGGAAAGTGCGGGGTTTCACAGCGAGCAGCCAAAAGCGCAGGATTCCCCGACAGGCCTATCCTTGCCCTTCTGTAGCTGCAGCTTCCACTTAATGGTACATTTTAAGTGTTGAGTGTTTGCAAGCCGAAATATGTGCTGCTTACAAGTATTTACCTTTTCTTCACATCCATCACCTTAATATTGCCTTAGAGATCTAAAATGGCAAAATGACAGCAGAAGTCTCAATGCAGATGAACAAAACCTCCCTTTTCCTTTTCAGACCCATGTTATTTGTTCAGCACGGTAGCCTGAGTAGACAAAAAGAATAAAAGATGCAGGTAAGAAAGGACAGGTGACATAAGGGAATCCTCTTGCTGGTGAATCAAATGACTACATTTTTTGTATTTTTTTCTACTTTTCAGAGCAAATTCTGAAGCTGCTCCCAACATGAATAGGCACTCACAGAACTGATAGTCAAGGTAAATTTTTTTTTATGCTTGTCAAAGCAGCTGAGGGTTTTTTCCAAGAGCTGTTAAAGAGCCCTTTTAAAGGCTATATCTCAAGACTTAGCAATTACTGTTGCTAATTGCATGTGTTCCTCTTGCATCTTCATGCCTATTGATTTTTGCTCCAGACTCTCATTTCCACAGTCACATTGTACAAGGCCTTAGATCCAGGCTTAGTTACTGCTGTGAATTCACTGAAAAATATGGGTTTCATTTTCAGCCCCCACCTAGAGCAGTTTTATATTTTAATCACACTATGAAAAAGTGTCAAGGTAGAAACAGGTGTTGGTACCTCTTTGCCCAGCATCCCACAGACACCCTGGCATTTCTTACAGTCCTGTGTATCCCCAGGAACCACATGCTACAGGAATGCAATGATTCATTCACCCAGTGCTCATGTGTGTTCTCCAGGCCTAGTGCAGTATAGCAGCTGTCGCCCTCCTGCAATTTTGTTGACATTTTTGTGTTTCACACTTTAGAGAATGAGGTGATACCTATTTGCCATCACTGATGTTGGCTAAAAGCTCTTAGGAAAGCCTAACTCAGAAAATCTAGAAGTTTGTCACATAAAATATGGAAGCAAATTCAATCAAGTCACATTTTAGGGTAATTGTATGAGTGAAAGATAAGCATTCTTTCCTCAACATTAATATTTCCTGTTGTGTAATGCTCACAGTATTAGGTCCAATTTCTTATGAAGAAAGAGCTGTTTGGTTATTTTCCATCAATATAATTTATCAAGCTTATCTTTATAAAAGACCAAGATAAAAGGTAGTGGTGTCTGTGGTTGTAAAGACAAGGGCAAGAAAGGGAAATGTGAAGAAAAACAAAATCACATACTTCTTGTATAAGTCACTGCCTTTATTGTACAATAATGAGCACCTTGCAGTTGATATATATACACAAGTTTACCACTGCAACTGTCAAGTATTTCCTACAATTTCAAATACTTCAGGGTAATAAGGTAGCCACTTATTAACATACCTAGCTTCCCTCAATGTGTGAAAGAAAATAAAAATATTTCACTTAGTTCAATTAAGATATTTCAGGCAAAATTTCCTTCAAGTTTTCAGCCCCAGTCTTGGAAATATGTATTCAGCTATGAGTGTAGTCCCACTGTACATGAGGTATCTAACATTAACCTACTCTTAAAAAGCAGTTATCCTATCTCTTCTGTGCTAAAATATCTACTAAAGTAGCTGATACCCATTGAAAAGATCAGTTGGACAAGTTTATCTAAGGATCAGGAAACACTCACTTATGTATGACACAGAAAAATAAAAATAACAAGCCAAAAGTAAATTTTCTTGCGGGCAAACATGAGAACTTCTACCAAAAAGTGGGGGCTAAGTTGGATTCTGAAATTTGAATACTAAACTAACACAAGATCAGGAGTGTTGTAGGAAGTGACATCAAACTTGGGGAACACCAGTGATCAGAGAGGCACTCACACAAGGTACAAATTATAAAGGACAGTCAAAGAAAATGGCACTGATAAAGATGTGGTGTTATATAACATTTTATTGTCATCAATCAAGTAAGTTAATTATCCATTAATAACAATACTTACGAACTGAAATGCTGACCTTTATTGGAAGAACACAGGATTAAAAATAAAGAAAAAAAGCAAAGGGAGACTTCTGTTTTCCTCACATTGATTTATTAAATATCATATTAAGATATGATATTGAGGTTTAAGTGTTTCAACGCTGTACACAACTGTTCTGCCTTGCACTATTTCCAACACTGCTTATTGATCACAGCTGAACCAAGACACTGCATCACAGGAACCTTTAATCTGAGCCAGTTTATTATTTACTCACTCTCCCGTGCCAGGACAGTTCTGAAAAAAAAAACAACTCTGTGGGATCTTATGCGGTAAACTGGACTTTATACACATCAAAACAGTCCAGGGCAAACTCAGTTCCAAACTGGTTTAAAGAAACAAGTTCCAGCACAGATTTGTATAAACCAGGTACTGTGGCTAAGGCAGACGAGTTCCCAAAATCCAGCTGAAGCGCAGGCAACATCATTGCTCTACAATGCACAGGATTTTAATTCGGAATCTCTTCCTTCTGTAGAACGTTATGAGTTACAAAGGAACAGGAAAGTAGCAATACAGCTAATGGACAGAGTGACAGAAGGAGCTCGCTAATTTATCTTTGGAATAACCAGCGCATTAGCCACGGTTCTAGTCATGCTCTGATTGAGGAATAAACACCTCTCCGCTGCACCCCTGCACACACCCAGCTACCCCTCGTGCTCCATCTCATCCCTCCTCCTTTACCTTCGGCCCGCATCCCGCATTTCCCCATACGCAAAGGGAAGCAGGGAAACGCTGCGGAGGCACCTCCCCTCACGGCGGCCGCCCCGCCCGCCCCCCTCGACGCGCACGCGCAGGGGCCGCTCACGCCCCGCGCTTCCCGGGACGCGGCGCCTGCCGGGATCTCCCGCCCCTGCTGTATGCGGGGAGATGCCGGCCTGAGGGGGCGGCCCGGCCGCTGCCCGCCCGGCTCGGACTGAGCCTCCGCGTTCGGCTCGGTCGGCGGCTCCCGCCCCCTTGAGCTGCAAGGTCGGAGCCCGGCTGTCCGCGGCGCCATGGACAGCTTCCTGGAGGATTATAAGGAGGCACCGGCGGTGGTAGTGGGGGGGAAGAGAAGGAGGAGGAGCCCCGCCACTCAGGCGGTCTTGCAGCCGCTCCTGCACCTGCCCTTCCTGCCGCCGCAGCCGGGTAAGGGCGGAGCGTTTGTGCGTTCTCTTTATGAACGCCTTCGTGCTGCCCTGGGAATGGTGGCAGAGTTTCAGCTTCTATCCGCTAAATCGTCTGCTAGCGCCGGGAAAGAGGTTTGAAATAACCGTAGTTATTTTGTGAGCCGGCGGTATGCCCTTGCGGGCAGCAAGGCACATGGTATCATCGGGAAGAGCAGTGTCAGCAGGTCGAGGGAGGTGATCGTGCCCCTTTACTTAGCCCTGGTGAGGCACATCTGGAGTGTTGTGTCCATTTCTGGGCTCCTCAAGGCAGGAGAAACATGGAGCTCCTGGAGAGAGTCTAGCGGAGGGCACGAAGGATGATTCGGGATCTGGAGTATCTCTTATGAGGAGAGACTGAGGGAGCTGGGCCTCTAGTGTGGAGAAGACTGAGAGGGGATTTCATTAATGCATGTAAATATCTCAAAGAGAAGTGCTAAGGGGATGATTCCAGACTTTTCAGTGGTGAGCAGCAGCAGGACATAGTGCAGTGACCATAAACTAAAGCACAAGAAGTTTCACCTCAGCATGAAGGAGATCTTTACATTGAGGGTGGCAGAGCACTGGAACAGCTGCCCATGGAGTTTGTGGAGTCTTCCCTCTCTGGAGACTTTTTCACATCCCACGTGGACACCTTCCTGTGTCACCTGCTCCAGGTGACTCTGCCTTGGCAGCTGGTTGGACTGAATAATCTCCAGAGGTCCCTTCTAATTTTGATGGTTCTGTGATTACCCGACTTAGCCATTGTTTGAGTTATTCCTCTGCCTACAGCATCCAGATAGGAGATGTCTTGGTGAGCTCTTCATGTGCTTTGCAGGTGACTTTTTCTGGATGAGGATTGTTGTAGGGTCATACAGCTGTGAGCTTTAAACACACTTCATAGGAATGAAGTTTCAGTTTCATGCTGGTTTCAGAATAAATTGAACTACTATTGATGTAAAAAGACCAAGAGGCCTCTTTGCAGCCTTGTACTCAAATGAGAATAGTTGTCTATGTTTATCTTTGTGGAAATTGTTTAGCCTTTGGTACTGGAACAGTCTGTTTGTTTGTGTACATGCAAATATGGTAGCACTGTGGCATCGCAAACTTGGGTGATGACTAATAAGTGAAGAGAGCAGTCCCCAAAATATGACAAAATGTACTGTGAAGTTATCAAAGCACTATGGCTCCCTGATTCTAGTAGGGCAGTAGTGTAACATAATTGGCTAATCACAGTTTCAAGTGAATGGAAATTTCAAGCACAGCTATGTGCTGCTTATGGAAAATGTCATTCCATATCACATTTCCAGCTTGTCCCATAGTCTTGCTTCCCTGTTTATCTTCAAAACCACAGAGCTTAATATGACTTTCTGTAGTGTCCATACAAGAAAGATTCTGAAAGGGAGAGCATGTGGCTATCTGAATAAGGGCTGTGACTGCTGTGGGCTCAGTTGATTATTTTTTGTTTGTTTGTTTGGGTTTTTTTGTTGTTTACTTAGTATCTTCCAATGAATACAAGTTAAACTTCAAGAAGAGCAAGGAAGCATGTTTAAGTTACATTCAGGATGCCTTGCTCCAAAAGCAGTGGAAAAGAGCTGCAGAGTTCCTGACCTGCTATGTTGAGTCACTAGAGAAGGACTATTCCAGAGAACACATAGGTCCATCAGAGGTAAGCCCATGTTCCTTATCTGAGTTCTTTTGCAGTTGAAAAAATACTTGCAAAGCAGCATCCATATACTTCAGGACCAACATCTGTCTTAATTAGCTAATCACAGGCTTGATTTTTTTTTTTTTTTAATAGATCCTTGTCACAACAGAAGAAGACTTGGCTTGGTATAAGTTCACTCTATCAGCAGTGTATCTGAAAAATCAAAGTAGTCCTCTGAAATGGGAAAGCAATAAATGTGTTTGGTTCTGGCATGTTGTCAGTCAGAATCTCTTTGCAAATTGGTATCTTATTTAGGTTGTTACCAGCTTTTCCAGTAGCTGCAAAACTCCTTGCAGATATTTAGATGGAAGCATGTGGAAGGAAAAGGATCAGAGTTTTAAATAAATGGAGTACTTGAGTATGGCTAGCTTGCAGACTTTGGAAACAAGTGCATGCAATTGGGGAGCTACATCAAATTGGAAATAATCTTTGCTATTAAGTTCAAAGAGTTGCGTATACCTGGTGTCTTAGTGGGGTCATGTCCAAAAAGAACATAACTTTTCAGTGAGGGGAGGAGGAACCCTCTGGCATGCAGTTTTCATAAACTCTTCTTGAGTGCTGCATTTATAATGAGCAATTCTGAACCACTGAATGACTCTAAAAGTCCTACTGGACAAGTAGGTAGGTTACTATAGGAGTAGATAATGCTTTGTAGTATTTTTTGTTTGCAGCTCAAATGTACATTTTTCATGTCCTACAGTAACTATAAGTTTAGTAAGACTATATGTGATGTCTGTTGCCATTTTTGTACTAAGGTTGGTTTTGATTTTCTTTCTCCCTGTTAACAGATGATTTGGAGAATAGGAACTGAAATTTTGTGGCATCATTCCCAAAGCAGGATGAAAGAGTTCAACTGTTTCATGGAACAGATGAAAACTTTAGGAGTAAAAAGGTACTTGAAGGTGAGTGTACTTAAAGCAGCCCTGATGATTTTTCACAGTTATCTGAACACTTACTTGAATATTAATTTCCAGATCTCTTTTGAAATGTATTACTGACATTAGTGTCAATAAAACTCAAACCCAACATTTGAATTACCAATTGCATGATATTTGGAGGTCATTTTATACCTAACCTTATCTCATTTGGTCTGTATGTTTGATCACAGATGTATGTTCTCAGTCCTTAGGAGTGCTTAAAAATCCTTTAATCTTTGAATTTGAACCAGTCAAATTCATTTTCATACATGTCCCAATGACATGTAAATACAGGTAATTACCTGCCAAGTTTTATTTTCAGTCTTTAATTTGATCACTGTGCTGCTGACTAAACATTTGTACTTAAATTTTGCCTCATTACCCTCTCACTTTTTGAGTAGCTAATCTGATTATAAAACTGTATGTTGTGCACACCTGTGTCACACAGCTGGGGGGGGGGGTTAATGGGTTTTTTCCCTCTGGTGGCTCATTCAAACCTATATTGTTGGTTTCCTTGGCTGTTGTGCACTTGAGATGGTGCTTCTGTCTTTTATTCTGTTTTTAAAGGTCTTCAAAAGAAGTTCCATACAAGGGTTTTCTGGAGCTAACTGAAGGTTTAGGCTTTTATCTTATGATGCCAAATCAACATGGTAGGGTGGAAGGGCATTCCTCTTTCAGGTGCTCTGAAAAGTAAGCAAATGCAGCCCAGCTGGGTTTCCTCAGGTAATTTTTAGATCTTTTAAAATAGGAACAGCACATGTTAAAGACAAGCAGGTTTTTGAGACAACAGAAATAATTTAAATTCTTCATTATGTGTCTTGCCAATATTTTTTATGCATGTCAGCAAGTCTCCTCTTTCTCTGCACATGTGTGTAGAACTTTGCTGTATTGCTTAGAGTCTCTACATTTGAGTGTGGAATGCTGTGTTTTGGACTGTTTGGGTTGTAGGTCTGCTTGGAGCATGTCTTCCATCTCCTCTGTAATGGGCAAATAGATGAAGCATACCAGAACCTGTCCCTGGCAGAAAGCTGGAGGTTTGGAGAGCAAACAGCCATTCAGGATAAGGAAATTAAGCTGATTCAGGCTTACAGGGGACTCTTGGACTACTGTAGCTGGTCTAAGCAGAAGAAAATCCTGTTAGAGCATGGTAAGTGCTTTTTAGATTGAGCTGTAGCTTCAGCTTGCTCATGCAGATGCCATGGTTTGCAACGATGCCTTTTCCTTTACCAGACTTCAGTGTGTGATGATGTGGCTCGTACAGAATTCTATATCAGCAGTGATGGTAGTGCCAAAATAGCACTTTCTGAAGTGCCCTGAAATGCTGTTCTGAAACTCTTTCTCCCCACGTCCAGCCAACATCACCTAAAATAATGATCAAAGGAATGCATTCCCTTAAAGCAGTGGTTTAATAGGTGTGCAAGTGCATGATTGCTGCTGGAATGTTGAGTGACAGCAAAACCCTCAACACTTGTGTTTGAATTTCAGTTTCCTTAAAGATGTGGAAGTTGCTACATGTGTCACATCTGGTTCTATCTATACCTACTGGCAGTGTTTTATCACTTGCACTAGATCTCTGTTTCTCTGAAAACCAGATGTTGAATTTGGCTTATGGACCTTGTGCGGGTAGCATCTTCTCTTGGCATCCTACTCATTGTGCTCCATAAGTTGAAATTGATTATCAATTTGAATGTGGATCAGTGAAAATGTCTTGTTTCAATACTGAGGAGTCTTTTCTTAAAAGCTCTCTGGCTGAAGTCCTTGCTCAGCAAAATGTGATCATCCCTAAGGTGCAGCACTTCAAGATCCCTGTGCTTGGCAGAGTTAATAACTTTGTGACCTTCCTTTGTGTTTTGGTAGGTGAGGATGGATTTGCAGACTTGGCTGTTGAGCAGGAAATGCACGGTTACTTCCGGAAGGCAGCAGTGAACTTGAAGGAGATTATTAAAATACCTGGAGTCTGGGATGTCTTTGTGAAATGCTATGTGGATGTAAGGGCATGTTTACAGATGGCTTTCTTTTATGTTTCCCTGTCTAATTTTCATTAAGATGCCCATATGCAGATTATTTTCTGTGTGTGTGAGTGAAAACAAAGTATTTCAAAAGCAACACATTTGTATGTGCACATCACGGGCTTTGAATGTAGAGCACAGCATACGCCTGGTAGAGCTGCAGAGCCTGAGCACAGTACAAAAAGAACTTTTATCTGTTCATTGTCAAGAAAAAGAAGTAGACAGACAGCTTACATGTTTTGTTTTTGTGGGGCTGCAAAAATTGGAGCATAGCTGCTTTAGTTCAAATTCCTGAAAACACTTGGATTTTTGGCAGGGCACTGTTTTCTCTGGATAGATGAAATGTTAGAGATGCCAAATATGCAGCCCTTCTCTGTTCTGGTTTGGGTTTTTAAATACCTGTTTAGGATTTGTAACCAAGAATTAGTAATTTTAAAGAGATCTTTTACTTTTTGTGAACACTGATAAGCTCTGACTTCTCTAAGCATGTGTCTTGGTTTGGAAAGACAGGAGTCTTCTAAGGAAGGCAAGAGCCTCCTCTGAAATGGAAAGTGTAAACTCCCTCTCTCCGAATTGTTATAAATTTGAAATTAAAGGGTGTTTTCAGGCAAAGATACGGGAGCTGGAATAACAGTTCTTTATTGGGGAAGAAAATAAAAATAAAATAAACAATGTGGTAAATCAAAACAACACTGACAGAGTGAGAGTACAACCTGACACCCTGTGGGTCCGGGTGTTGGTAGCAGTCCAGTTGGAATTGTGGCTGCAGTCCTGGAGTAGCACATATGGTTCTGTTGGAGCAGTGATCCTGTAGCAGGGTGTAGTCTTCTGAAGATTGGAAGTGGAAGAGGCAGCTGTTCCTCTGGTAATCCAGTGGAAAGGCTGTTCTGCTGTCTCAGAATCTCAGATTATATCTAGTTAGGAATGCTTGGCTCCTCCCTCTGGGCGGAGCATCTCACAATGGGATGCTGTAATTTTATCAGTCATGCAGTGACAGTCAATGGCCCATTAACAGATGATATCTCTCTGCAGGGAGGATGGGTTGTGGAAGAGATAAGGACAACTGCCTAATTAACAGAAGTATAACTGCCACACCTCTAACACCTGGCAAATAGAATACACATTGCTTGGCAATCTAGGACGTTTTAAGAATTTTCCTTGGTGCTGGCATCTGCCAAGTTCTGTCTCTAGAGATATGGCAGGTGCCTTCAGCATCTCTTTCCAGTGAGCAAGGGATGATAATCCTTTGACAATTAAGTAGGTGTTAAGGCATTTTCTCCCAGAGTAGCTTCTGTGTGTGAATTCTTGTCTCTCTGTCCTGAGAGTAGCAAGTAAAATTAAGATGGGCCGGTATGTAATTATCTAATATGCATTAGCTAATACGCTGCACTCTTATATACAGACTGTGCTACTGGATGGCTCTGTGGCAGTCCAGAATTAATTGTAAGAGTTTGGTTCCCTGTATCTGACAAACTAATGACAGACTTAACTTCCAGTTGCTGGAGTTCTATGGAGAGCACAATGAGGCCCGCCAAGTGTTAAATGAATATGCCTACAACTCAAAGTTCCCTGCTAACCCAAATGCCCATGTCTACCTCTATCAGTTCCTCAAGAGGCAGGGTGAATCAAAGAAATCCCTCATATCTGCACTGAAGGTAGGTATCCCCTAGGAGATACAGTCTGTGTCAGTCAGGGGTGGTCTGACAGCTTGCTTGAGCTCTGTAACGTTATTTATCCTATTGTATTCTTTGTGGGAAGTAGAGGGTTAGAGGGAAGTTAGTGGGAGGGAGCAGAATCCTTAACTGTCCTTGAATTCCAGTTCTTGTTTTGCCTTTGACTGGTACATCCTATCACTTAAAGGTGGTAAGTAAGCTCAGAGAACATGTTCACATGGTTCCAGAAGTCTGTATCAGCAGACTTGTGCATAGCATGCATTGATTTCTCTTACAGTTTGATCTTTACAATGTGTACAAATCATTAATGCCTTCTCTTTCACCTATTGATCCTATCTAGCAATTAGTTTCTTTGCTTGTTTTTAATGAGCTGTGCATTAAAGCTAAAAGTTAATATCTGCTGGTTGTTGGCAGACAAGACCTTGTTGGGTTAAGCTTTTTAATTCCTGCTTTCCTTGCCCTCGGTACTCCTTGCAAACCATGCTTTGCCACTTGATGGCACTAATGTGCTCTTGTTAGTGCAAGTGTTGTTTAAAAACAGCTTTGTAAGGCTGTTTTGTTTGTTTTAGACTTTGAAACTGTAGCAGATTTGCATGAAATTCTCTTCTGCATTTTAGCAGTAGCTTTAGACGTGAGTCTCTTGGAAAACAGAGATAAATCATAGAAATGATTTGGTAAGTCCAGAAACTGACCCAATGCACAGGGGAGCTAGAACTGTCCTAGGGAGAAAATTACATTTTGCCTTCAAAAAAGGGGACACTGGATATGGATTTGGGCTGCTCCTTCAGAATGTTGTATTTGCCACAAGCAGTGTTTGTCAGCAGCCATCAAGGTATTTCATCTGTGGTGTCACAGAGCAGTGTCACAAATGTGCAAGAAGGACCTAGAGATCCATTCTTTATATCAAAGCACCAAAGTACCAGAATTGCTTAATTTTCTGAACTAAAACACCCAAAGCTCTGAAGCCTGTGCTTTTCTTTGTCAGGTAAAAGTCTTCAAAAGTTTTCACATTAAAATAACCTATCTGGGTTTTATCTTTTATTTTTTAGATCTTGCATGATATTGTTCCTTCTCATGAACTAATGATAGATTTTAATACCATGCTTCAAAAATCAAGTAAGTCTTTACCTTTGTTCATTTCATTTATGGTAATTTCAGAAAACTATTCTGGATTATCCTACAGCCTTCTTTCTGCTTTTGAAATTAGTTTTGTTTCTTAAGAAACAGTCCCATAAAACCAACTCAAATGCCATCTTTTCAATCAATCACCATAACCTCTTAAGATGGATGTATAAGCAGTCATTTACAAACTTGTGTTACCAAATGCCTTTTTTTTTATTTTAAAGGCTGAGCAAAGCAAGCAGTTGTAAGGCACAGGGAGAACCTCAAAAACAACTTAATTTTTTTTTAGGTGCCCTACTCAAATTTCAAGGTCTTAATTCCATTTTTGGAATCTCTATTTTATTTATTCTTTTCTTTCTTGGAATGTATCTATTCTTTAGTTCATTGTTAATGATCAAACAACAAAATTTTCCTTCTCTTTAAGGGAGCATTATCTTCAAGCTGGTAGAAAAGTCTTCTAATCTGAAGACTATTTTTTTTTCCATGCTGATCAATTGTATTCCAAGCTGTCTGTCTTCTTGTATCTTGGTATGTCTCAGCAGGTCAACAGATTGGTGAAATGTACACATGAATAAAGATGGTTCACTCTTCTGATATGATGAGGGTTAATGGCTTCAAACTGACAGGGGGAGGTTTAGAAGAGATTTTGGGAATAAATTCTTGATTGTCAGGATGGTGAGGCACTGGCACAGGTTGCCCAGGGAAGCTGTGGATGCCCCATCCCTGGAAGTGTTCAAGGCCAGGATGGCTGCAGCTCTGAGCAACCTGCTCTAGTGGAAAGTGTCCCTGCCCATGGCAGGGGGTTGTAACTTGATGATTTTTAAGGTTTTCTCCAACTCAAACCCTGATTCTTCTTTGGGAGGGGGAAAAGGAGTCCTTTTGTCTGAAACCTCCCTTTTTCAGTTCATGTGAGACACATTTGCCAACTTTTCATAACTAATGAGAACAACCTGGAGTTTTTAAAGAAATTTATACCAATAAACATAACTTATGTTTAAAGTAGTGGGGGGGGGGGGGGGGGGGGGGAAGAGTGGAGAACTGTATTTCACTTGTGCCTTACTAATGAGTTCATCCTGATCTGTGTAATTCATTAATCAGCCTCATCTTTTTCCAGAGAAAAGAAAAAAGCGTCAGCTGGGCCTAGAAGTTATTTTTGCAGCCTTGGATTATGCTGGCTGGAAAGAAAATGCAAAAGCATGGAGCTGTTTGGCAAGACAGGTGAAACAAATTGTAATGTAAGTAGCTCTGATGCAATGTGTTGAAACAAATGTGTCAAGTCTCCACCTTTGGGCAGTGAACACAGTGACCCTCTGTGCTCTAACTTTGCCTTCATTTTTACCTTTCATACACAACTTCAGAGTATCTTGAAATACTGGGCAGTTTGATCACTGTATGGGAATGTCACTTCCCCTTTGTAGATGGTTTTATAGAATCCTTGAATAGTTTGGGTAGGAAGGGATCTGAAAGATCACCTTGTTCCAGCCCCCCTTCCATGGACAGGGACACCTCCCACTAGAGCAGTGTAGTGGGCTGATCATGGCTGGATGCCAGGCACCCACCAAAGCTGCTCTATCCCTCCACTCTGCAACTGCATGGGGAGAGAAAATATAAGTATTCATGGTTTGAGAGAAGGACAGGAAGAGACCACTCACCAAATACTGTATTGGGCAAAAAAGACCCAGGGCCTCACCATCAAAGTGAGAAATTTCTTCCTAACATTTAATCTAAACCTGTGCTTTTCCAGTTTAAAGCTGTTCCTCCTTGTCCTGTCTCTACCTTCCCTTGCAAAAACTCCCTCTTTGTGTTTCTTGCAGGTTCCCTTGAGGGACTGGAAGGAGTTTGTGTTGCTGAAATGCTTGGTTTAAGAGCATTATTGCCTAACAGTAATAACTGTTGGGGATGAGTTAGTCTTTGAGTATGCCTGGAGTAACCCAAACCTTTCCTAAGGACGAAGCAACCCCTTCATACTACTCATTTGTTGACAAAACTGGAGAAACTTCCATATTACTATTGGCAAACTGGCAGACAAGTGAAAGGCTTGCTTAATTTCAAACCATAATCTGTGCTATTGCCAAGGCTTAATAAAACTGCTAGAGTTCACTTCCAGCCTCACAAGTGTTGCCAGGGATTAAAAAAGAATTGTTAGTTTTATATAAAAATGCTTGTGTTACTGTTTTGGTATAAAGTCAATGTGTCTATGTTGGCAATTTAGGAGATTTGTAGCAAGCTGATTGTAACATTCACTGTCTCCTAATAATCTTTCCATTACATTTTAACCTCTTCTGTAATTTGTTTATCCTTTTTCCAGCTCCGAGAAGCATCTTGACTGGATCAAGCAAGAGTGGAACTCCAGGAAGGACTGGTGGCCAGACTTCCATTTTAGCCGTTACTTGGCAAAAAGGAATTGGCAGGAAAATAAAAGCCTTTCATATGAAAAAGCTCTGGTGGCTGGAATCCTACTGGGAAAGGGTATAATTTTTTCTTTCTTTTCACTTCATGGAACAGAAATAATGTCTAGTTCTAGCCCTAATGACATGGGATGCAGCTGATCTGCTGCCTGGAAGAAATACAGTTTCTTTCTTTTAAAAAAGATTCTTGTCTTTGAAGCTGAACATGAAAGGTATTTAAGTTAGTTTGATATTTAAACAGTGAGGCAGCTGGTCTTATTGTGGTTTAGAATTCAGTTTTATCTAGCTTTGTTGAGCAGCCACAATACTATTTGTCTTGTTTGACCTTCAAACTATAACTCCAAAAATGCACAATACTCTCCTTGGGAATACTGTGAGGACTGCAGGCAGTTTGCTTCCTAGATGCCAGCCTGGGCAGTGTCTCAGCAATACTGGATGTCAGCTGGTCATTAAGGACTATGGGTATGTTGTAATGCAGGAAAGAGGAGGGAGAGTCTGTATGAAAAACATGATCAGTTTGGTAAGAAGGTGAATATCATTACCTCTTTAGTAGCATTATTTGAAATGCTGCCAAAACAAGGGGAGGATCAGGCCAAGAATCAGCTGCTAAATTGAGAATGGGAATATGGTGTGGAGACAATGGCTTGTAGACTGGTTTGAACTTCTCGTTGATGGGCAACATGTTGATTGTTAGCTTTTCTATAACTTTTTCTTCTGCACTTCATAGAACAACTTCTCATAGAACAAACAGAGCTTCATGTTGGAAGCTCTTTGGATATTTTTTGTTTTGCTTTCAGTAGGATCAGATATCTCCTTTTTATTTCCAGATGGCAAATAGAAGCATTCTAGTTCAGATATTCTTGAATGAAGTTTCAGTACTTACTGACTCAATGTGAGCTTCTGTTTTCATTATCTAGGGTAATAAATTAATGTATGATATCAGTGCTGCTTTACACTCTTGAAATTTTACTTTCTGATCTAATTTGCAGAACAAAAATGAAAGAGAAAACAGTATTGTGCAAGATAACAGGCATTTAGATACATGTAGAATGTTTGCTGGGCTAAGTGAGGATAGATTATTTAATGCTGCAGTTACGTCTGTAATGAGCATGTCTTGGATTTTAATACCTTTAATTACCGAAAAGTTTCTTAGCTGTTTGCATATTATTTAAACAATGAAAGCATTTTGTATTTGCTTGCATCATGGTGTAACTTAGTGTTGTTTTTTTTCCTTCCTTAGATTGCAAATACTTCAAATATGTATCACACCAAGGCTGCAAAACTCGGGTGAAAAGGTTTCGGATGCTGAAGAAGTTTGTGACTAGGCACAATCCTGTCTACCTGAGAATATCTGGTCCTCCAGATTCCTCTGTTCAGCCTTGATGAGGTATCCCTAAGGTTCTTGGTACTTTTTCCTCTCTGTAAAACTGACTTTTGTGTTGGTCGTACTGCAAAACCTTTAGGCAGACTGTATTGACTCAGTACTAGACTTTTTTTTAATATATTTATGTAAAACCACTTTGGTTGGTATTTATTTTATAATAAAAAGAATATATAAATCAAGTGATAATGTCTGAAGAAAGAATTACAAAAAGAATTTCTGTAATGTTACTCTAATATTTGTGTGAAATGCAAACAGTGTTGATTTCAAATACATCTTAAAAGAGCAGAGGCACAGAAATACTGAGAAATTCTCTATCTCCTGCAAGAGACTTTTTTTTGCAGTCATGCCCATGAGTTGAAATAAGCAGTATTGCTGTGTTTGGAAAGCAAATGTTTATGTGTTATCACAAATCAGAATTCCAGTTTCCTTGAAAACAACAACAAAATGGCTTCCAAATACTACTTCTGTTTTAATGCCGTATCTGTAGAATTCTGGAGGGTGAAGTGCTTGAACCTCCCTCTGGGATTTTGGTCTGGGTTCACATGGGTCTTGTGAGAAGTGCCTTAAGACAACGTATCTTAAACATTAAATGAAATACTTGCTGTAACTGTGTTTTGTTAAAGGCAATTACTCATCATTCCCAACCCTAGTGCTCGTTTACTTCTGACTCCCTAAGAATGCTGCTTCCTCACTGTGTAATAGTCAGGGGGTATTAGGTTGCACATGGGGGGCGAGGGGCAAGGAGACAGAGACATGACTCACCCCCGATGTTCAATGTTCATGTGGCACAGAGGAAGTTTATTTTCCCAGGCTAGCCTTTATAAAGACTTTTAAAAGACCCGGTCTGGATATTCTCATTGGTCTGAACTCCGTGTCCCCTCAGGATCTGGCCAGTGAAATGCTTGCGGCTTCATAAGAGATCTGACTGGGAGAAGCCCTTTGTCAGTTAATCCTGGGACTTGGTAGCAAGCTCATATGTGACATCTGGTAACATATCACCCATCTTTGTTTAATACATTCTGTAATTTGTTTTCTGTTACTCATCTGCAAAGGCCCTTTACAAACAAAACAGCAACAGCATGGCCAAATTTGCATGGAAGCTGCAGCATTTCTGTTCAGAATGCATTGGGGGAGAACTCAGGCCACAGGCACAATGCTTATATGTTACAACTTATAAAAACCAAAACCCATTTAACCTTTAACCCATTTAACCCTTATATTAAAGACAACCTGTAACCCATTTATCTCTTGAAGAACCCAACACCTAGAAAACAATCTGTAAACAGAAAAACAGTTGTAAACAGGAAAATACTTAGTAAACAATTCAAGTCCTTATATTGACTGTCTATGCGGTAGGTAGTCATTTGTAATCCATGGTTCTGTTGAAGAGACTTCAGAATGCTGTCCAGTGTCCTTTACCTTGGATTTTTTAGGAATATTGTACTGTTACATGACTTATTATAAAACATAAGAACATGACACCACCCAAAACTCAAAAAGGGGAGGTATACCTTCTCCCCAACCTTTTTTCCACTTTTTTATTTGTATAATAAGTAGAAATAGAAATAAAGCATGCATTTCTTAACAGCATTAATAAGGTAGGGGGTTGCTGAAAGGTCGCTTTCTCATTATGAGCAAACTTCTGGAGGGCTATTCTGGACAAAGCCTCTATGCCTGTCTCAAAAGAAAAAGAGTTAGCCTTTTTGCACAGAATCTTTATCAGCCAGGTTCATAGGTTGATCAGGCCAATGACTTGGTTGGGAGAGATTCCTTGCATAAAAACAAGTTTGTATTAATATCCAGTGCAAAACAAAACGAAAATTTTTTAACATGAATTTCAGTGTAAGCAGTACTCTCTTCCTGCCTTGTTAGAAATTTTACTAGTGATTTAATTATTGACTTTGAATTTTTTAGAATGATGGCAAGTGGCAAAACATCAGTTGAAGAACTTTGCAACTGAAATTTGCCTATGATAAATTAATTTTGCTATGGGTATCTCAGTGGACAGCCCCTGGGTCTCAGCCATCCTTCTTGAAATACTGTGACAATAATTAGTAGGAGTATTAAAAAAATAATAATACACACACTAATGCTTCCCTAATATAACACCTTACTGATCATGGGCTTGTTAATTTTGGTTCTAACAAATGCAAACACCCATAATGAATATTGTACCATGAGTTCTAATGTATATTTTTACAAACAGTTGTACCTTATAATAACTTTTGTATGACAACCTTTCAGTGTCTTTATTAGAGTTTTTGTTACATGAAAACCTCAATTTATCTGGAGGTAATATGGTTGTAATGCTTGTAAGGAAGGAAACTTGGTGACTGCCTCTTCACCATCCATTTGCTAGCAGCTGCTGGCTTCTCACTTGTCTGGGTGACAGTGTGTCTTGACTTCAGCTGCTGTGAGACCTGCAACCCGTGTGTCCAACTCCATCTCTTCGGACAGACTTGACCGTCTCTGCCCCTGCATTGCCACACTCCCGCCTGTCTCTCTGCACTGCCTTTTTCCGAGCGGCACCTTTTCAAAGGCTTCTCCCACGCTTTGCTTCTGAATTCTGCGGCCTTCTTTGGAGGCAGGCTCGTTGGGGGAGCTGCTCCCTCCCGAGGTGTGGCTGTGTTCCACGGAGGCTGGAGCAGGGGCAGGTCCATTCCCTCAGGAGGTGGGGCGGTGGGGCCAGGCGCCACACAACCTGGCTCTGTTCCACAGCTGTATCAGGGGCGGAGCCCCCGCGCCGTGACGTCCGCTGGATGCAGCGGGTGCTGCCTGGCTGGCCCCATCGACCGCCTGGTGCGGAGTGATGGCCGCGGGGCTTCTCCTGCTCCCGGGAGGGGTCGGAGCGGCCGCATGGCACGGCAGCCCTCGGAGGGGCGGGGGGGGGGGGGGGGGGGGGCAGAATTATCCACCACGTAGTCTGTTCTCCCAGAGCAGGGCGGCATGGTAGCCCGAAGTGACTGCATAATGATTACTGCAGTCTGGGGAGGGCTCACGGCATCCCGGAGAAGCCGGGACTGTGGTGGCTGCCATCTCTCTACGTGGTTGGATTTCGCAATCCATCCTGCCGGCTCCCTGGATAATGCCGGCATCTGCCGAGGTTCCCCCACTCCCCATGGAAATAATCCCTCTTTATTGAAAGCAGAAAATCAGTACCTTCATAATGGAGTTTTCTGGTTCTCATACCTAAGCTCCCATGGTCTCAGTTGTGATTTTAGTCCACAAAACAGATTTTTAAACCCTCGAAGCACTCTTTGCTAACTGCTGAGGGGGTTTTTACCACTATCTGACCAGTGAGTCCTGGTTTTTCATCGAAAGTCTGGTTTTTACACCGTTCCAGCTTTTATGCCGTTCCCAGCTCTCAGACTGTATTACTCCAGGCTTTTATGCCTAATAATTCTGGCTATTATGCCTGATAATTTGGCTCTGAACACCGTACCAGCTTTTTGCTGTCTGTCTCCTTTGCTCTGTGCCAGGCTATGGCTGAGTCCCGATCACTTCAGAGGTCACCACCTGTAGCTTCATAAGAGATCTGACTGGGAGAAGCCCCTGTCAGTTGATCCCAGGGCTTGGTAGCAAGCTCATATATGATATCTGGTAATAAGTGGGTTGTGTTGGAGATTTTCAACTGGGTTTGGACTATTTTAATTTAGATTGTGAAGTTTCAAAATGTTCTTCCCCAGCATCCCATAAGGTGTCCCTCAGCCCTGGGAAGCAACTCCTCCTTAGGTGAGAGAGATGATCCAGACTTGCTCCCAGTGTCCATCTCATTGGAGTTCATGCCTGGACATGGGCCTAAAGCTGTCTTGGGACAGCCCTGGCAGGCAACCAGGTGTCTCTTCCCTTCCAGACACAAGGTGTCCCTTCACTGAAGTCTTTCATTTGGCTTCTTGCCTGCTATTGTGCCCCTCTGCTCCCCTGAACTTGCAAAGATGGACTTTGATAGGCTGATGACTCTCCTGTGCTGAGAGCATCCCAGCAGGGTATTACTTGGGCTTCCCCCTTCCATTATCTGCCTGTGTTCCTTTGTGAGTATGCACAGGAGATTTTAGCATGAACCCAAGTATAAAAGCTGAATGCTGGAAGCCCTGGTACTTGGTGAGAGCTCCCATGTAATTTCCTTTTGTTCCCTCAGCTTCCTGTGAGAGATGTGTGTGCCTTGCAGCAGCTGAGACTCTACTGAGGAAGAAATGTGGAACAAAGCATCAGAGATTGGAGTGGGGATAAGGAGAGTGAGAGAATAAAGAGGAACTCGATGTCTGAAAAATCTGCTAATCCGTTTTGGTGCTCCCAGCTTTCTCCTGTGACCTCTGGAAGCAGGATTGCTCTGGGGGATAATGTCCTCTCCAGGTGCTAGAACCATAATGCTGCAGTCAGCAAGTACAAGAGCTGAGTCACAGCTTTTGTGTAACTGTGCCAAGCATCGCTCTTCCATGTCCTGCAAGAAACTTGCTGTTTCCTGACACCACAGTACTTGGACCTGAGACAAACCAGCAAATTACAAATCCACAGAGAAATCTCTACGTACTGTGTTTTCAAGCCTGTGTGTTGTACTTTGAATGTGATAACTCTTAGTGGATTGGAATGGTCATCTTTGGCTTTGAATTCTGTGCTCTAGATTTGGTTTTCCTATCAATTTTCCTCCCCTTCCTGTGGGCAGAGCTTCTGTGAGGATTTTTTTTTTATCATGCATGAAAGAAGTAACTCCCTTTCCATGTGGCTGTGATCAAAATTATCTTGTGCTGCTTATGGAAGAGCACATCTAGGGAAGTGTCATCCTCCAGCACAGGCTGAGTACAATGTGTACAAACACCTGCATCCATAGCTCATGGGAAGGGCTTGCTCAAGCACTATTCACCAGAGGGGAAAGTGTGCAAAGTTTTTGTGCATTTTAAATCAGTTTAATGTCAAGTGGGATCAAACCCACAAAAATTAATTGGCTGAAGTAGAGGCTTACCACAGAATATCACAGTCAACTTGAGGTTGTGCTGGTGCCTTAAATGAATTTTTCCTCTTTCACTCCTTCCGAATTTCTTCTCATTTTAACCCTGAATGTATACCTGGATTTGTGGGTAACAACAATATCTATGAAGTCACTTGTTCCTATGGTTAATTGCTGGCTTAACTTGATTGTATTTTATGATCCCTGTTCAGTCTTTATGAAACCAGGCCCCAGTTTGATGCATTGCAAAAGCTGAGAAAAATGGTAGTTAGGAACTGAAAATTGTTCACTTGTGTTTTGTAAAGATTATCAAGTTCTGTGTACAGGTATCACATCTCATGTTTTTATTATTCATATTTCTCAGTGAAGGATTTCTCAGCCAGCTTAACCTAAAATGTAGGGATTTGATTTGTGAGTGCTTCTAGGGGCAGGAGAAATGTCCAGAGGGTAGGGTTAAGCCCTGTGATGTGTGACATGTAAAAGGCAGCCTGGAGGGTGTCTCTGCTGCCCGAGTAGTACTTCAGAGAGAAAGTAAGAGGGAGTATAAGCCAACCTCAGGGAATGCTGAGCTCTGGGGCTGGTGATTAGTAAAACAGAGAAGATGAATGAACCATGCTATGAAGAAGTCCAGGATTTTTATACATCTGACCTCAAGAAACCTTTGCTGAAGGAAGTGAATGCTTGACCATGGGCTGGAAAGTGAAGCAGCAGCTCTGGCGTTTCTTTTCCTTGCCCACATGTGTGTGTTTGCCTCTTGTTTTGCCTGATGGGCACTCTGCTGGGACATCCTCAGTGTCTGTATTATGGGCTGCCTTTCCAGCCCCCTTTGCCCTTGGAGTTCTGCTCTACCTATGAAAACTTTAGCTGCTGTGACCAGGAGAGAGACAACAGTATTGCAGCAAAATACTGGGACATCATAGATTACATGGATCCCCACGGGCATAAACTGTGTGGAACATACATCAAAGATATCCTGTGTCAGGTAAGGATGAAAAATATTTGTATCCTACACTTTGAGCTGGTTTGGAGGTCAGTTGTGGTTCTGACAGCTGTGCTACTGTGAAGGGAGGTGTGGGAGCAGGGAATGGTTGGGCTGGCAGGGGAATGGCACTTAATCCTCAGCAGGCATTTTGCAAAGTGCTTTGTGTAAGGTCCATCACTGTAATCTGGGAATATACAGTGACATTTGCTAGCAATAAGGGTTTATGGAAACATTGCCCAGTGAGGATGACTGTGAGAGACAACTGCTCACTTTAAAAAATTTAAAAGGTTTAATAAACCTTAACAAAAACACAACAAAAGGACTAAATAAAGAAAATTTTTCAGCACTGGGAACTGCCTTTGCAGCTGCCTACCATGTGGCTGGTTCGTCTTCAAGATGGATGCTCATCCTGGGGGTTGCATCAGCCAACCCTGGCCCCTCCCAAAGTCTGTCAGTCAGCTCTTCTTTGTTGTTTATTGGTGGAGACTGCTTTCTTGTAACTTGATTGGCGGGTAAGGTGTTATCATGCCACGCCCCCTTAGCAAGAAGCTTTTCTACTCCCAACTGCCTCAAGCTTTTCCACTCCAAACTGCACATGTACACACCTTCTTGCTACTTGTCTAAGACAACTGAGGCTGTCTGATGAGGCGGGGGGGAGAGGGGAGAATGGAACTATGGGGAGAACAGAGGTTATCTAAACTACAATAACATAACTATACATCAATAAAGCTTCTCTTAATATTCACACTATATTAATCTTTTAATTACGAGAGCAAATCATCTCATTATCCATCTGTAACAATGATGATTTTCCCATAATGAAGGAGAGAATTACAGATCAGTCTTTACCCCCTGCTTGGAACTGCAAGGTGCTGTGTCTTGGGTTGATAAGGGAGTGAGGTTTTTTGGGAAGTTGTAGCTAAACCAATCAGTGATCAGATTTGAATATTAGTACTTGGTGTGGTTATTGAATTCATGGATATGCTTTTGAGAACACAGGGGGTTAAAAAGCAGAGAACTTTCAGAAGGTTTTTTTGTTTCTGGTCAGTTGAAGAGGTCGTATCTCCCCCAGCTGAAGTAGGTTGGAGCTTTGGACAGAGAAGGGGACTGAAGGCCCCTGCAGGACGGAGGGGTGGGGAACTACTGAGATGTTTTGGGCAGCTCTAGAGAGAGAGTGCTCCCTCTCCAGAGAAAGAGAGAGAGCCTGCCACCTTAAAATTCAATACCTTGTGCTGGGAGCACGGCCGGCCGAAAAAGAGAAGAGGAGGGGAGGGTGCAGTGAGAAGGTGCCCGGCCGCTGTGGGAGTTCTGGGTAGGCAGAGCCCAGGATTTTAACCCTTTTCTTGGACAATAAAAACTTTGCAGTACATTAAGCCCTCCTAGAAGAGAGACTGACACAAAATAGAAAAAAATGGGCAAGTGTGGTGAAGGTCTGAGCAAGTGAAAGATGTCAGAAGTTGAGAAGAATCCTAGGTGGGAGGAGATGATAGAGTAACCTTTAGCTAGACTCTTTTCTTATATAGCCACAGACAAAACCATTTTTCCTGTAACACAGAAACTCCATTTAAGAGGAAGCAATGGCTTGGAGCCAAGAGAGTGCAGTAATGTTATGTGAAAGAGTAGCGTGAACAGAAGCCGATGAGGAGGGTGAAGTAGTGCCCTCTGTCTTCAGTGAAGAAGATCTCTGTTCTCGAGACCCCTCAGCCCCAAGGAGTAAATTTGAAGGGGACTGGCATCCCAAAAGTGAGAAACTGTTGCTTTTTTAGAACTAGACAAAACACCCTTAAAAGAAAAACACTAGAAGCAGCTCTAGTCCATGCACAGTGGTGAGAGCACTAAACATAGAAAAAAGAAATCACAAAGGCAAATGTTCTCTGAGTTAGTGCCATGTATGACATGAAAACACAAGAAGTTTCAGCTATGTTTCCTGGAGAAACCTTTAGTACAAAAAAACTCCTCTCTCCTTAATGAACTGAGAATTGATTATCTAAAGAGTAGTAATGAACTAAGAGTTGATTATCTGAAAAGTGGTAACTAGATTGAGAATCTGAAGTTTTATCTCATTGTGCTGTGTAGAAATTAGAAAAAAATGCTTTAAAAAGTTTTCATTCTGAGTTCTTTTTACATATTGTAAGTTAATAAAGTTTTTTCCTTTATTCCTAAGCTAAAACCTGCTTTGCTCTATTTCTAGTCACATCTCAGAGCAGCTACTAAAACAATTATATTTTCATAGGAGCACTAGCATTGTGCCAGCATCAAACCATAACATGTTGGATTACAAATTCTACAGAATCAAATGATAGGGGAATTACAGGGAAAGTGTTTGGATCTCTGGCCTGCAGGGAGGATTTTTTTTAGTTGTGTTTTCCTGCTGAGGGTGCTCCAAATGCTGTGCTTGTCAGAGTAAAACAAAATTTCCCAGGCAGTGGTTTCACACAGCTGCTGCAAGGTCCCGAGGCTGCAGTAACAGTGTTTTCACCAATCCTATCTCCCCACTGCCCACCTGGCTTGTGGAAAGTGTGCAGGGAGGAAAGACTAAAGGCCCTTTTCTGTCTGAGCTCCCCTGCATCCCTGGAATCAGAGGGCAGGACTCACCTGCCTTTTTAGGAACTGTGAGTCACACCAAGCTCCACTCAGTGCATGCCAAAACACAAAGCAGCCAAAAGACACACCTAGTCTTTCTAAAACCATACAAAACTCTTGTAGTTAATATTACCTGAGCTCTAAAATGTTATCTATGTACCAAAATGTTTCCACTTTTTTTGGATACTGGCAAGATTCTGGCATCTCCTTGGGGTGGGGGATACACCTTTGCAGCACTAGGGCTGAAAAAAAGTAGCAGCAGAGTTCTCTGTTATTTTACAGTTGGTAAACCAGCAAAAGATGTGTTGTAGATTCTAACAGAAAAACTGGTGTTGATGTTGTAAGCATTTTTCTACATGACTCAGGTAGAAAAAAGACTATAAAATTACTATTGTTTCTTTGATTCCTCATTCTGCAGGGTATAATGTAATTTTGCATTTGTTTTAAGTGCATTTTGTAGGAAAGAAACTCCCAAATCACCCATACTTTTTTACAGCTTTTCAAAGTTATAAGCTATTACTCTTTTCCTGTTTTTTAAAGTAAGATTGCTGTTGAATCTTTGAGGAGGAGTTGTGACTGTGATATGTGTTGCTCTTCCTGGTCAAGTTGGTAATAACCACAGAAATATGATTGGGTTCTCTGGCACATACTGTTTGCCTGTTGAATTAGTGAAAAGAGCAAATATCTACCAAATGGTTTTGCTTCAGTGAAGTCACTTTGCTGGATCCCATTGCTGCTGAACTTACATGGAAGGGATGGAATTCCATTCTGCCACCTCCACAGCATCTTCATAGTTTGGAACAAAATAAATTGTAAGAAAGTGGTGGAGGTGCTTATTAATAAACCTGAATAGTAGCTGCTCTGATTTAGCAAAGGAAGCATTTTTTGGGGAGATCAGAGCAGTAGCCATGTGTGGTAACAAAGCAGCTCATTCAGTCAGGTGTGTTCCTTCTGTGCCAAAACCCAGCAAAAGTCAGACAATCTTGCTGGTAATAAGGGGGTTGCTGAGTTACTCAGAGGAAGCTGGGTTCACTGGCCCTGCAGAACCCAAGAAAGAGGCCATGGAGTTCACCTTACCCTGGCAGTGCAGCTCTGTGTTCCTTAATGGTCAGGAGATTATTCAGGGATGTGTTCTGGATCATGGATTTCCTGCTAGCACTCTAAACCGGATATATTTCTCTCAAAAACTAACAGGTTATGAAGCGATAAGTGGAATGAATAGGCTCCACAACATGATGTAGTTATGAAGTGGGTATGTATTGTCAGTGCCCAGCACAAGTGAGATAGCTCTAGTGAAAACTTGTGCCCTGAGCTCCAATCTGGGCCACATCTTTATTCACAAAGGTTTTCCATATACATTACATTGTACAACCTTTTCATGCATATTCAATCCCTGGCCCCGCCTGTCCTTGCCTCGTATGGTAATTAAATCCATGCCCTTCTTCACAGTGGTGGTTGCACAGGGGTCTTTCAGTGGTTTTTGAGGCTGAAGGCCATGGTCTTCCTCACGGTTGAACTTTTGAACTTCTTTGCTCGTGCACTGTGGTCCCTTGGTGCCTATCTGAGTATGTCTGTTGATTTTGAACAGCTTGGAGACAGAGGAGCTCCTTCATCTAGGTTTCTTGCATTCCTTGGTCTTCTCCCAGTATTGTTCTTTATTGCAAGAAGCTTCAGAAATTTTCCTATGCCCTTTGTACCATGGCAGAGGTTTCTTAAGTAAAAGGTTAAAATTTAACACATCATTCTACAAGCTAAAATTTAAATGCTTAATTCATATTGCTAACTTAAGCGAACCCCCAAAACCTCCATTTTGGTCCCCCTCTTTTCTTAAAATACAGTAAACTCTTTTACTACAGGGGCCCTGATCTAAATTCTGACCTGCTATAATAACAGTTCTCCTTCAGCAAGATTCCATGAGTTCTAGAGAGTGAAGTCAAAATGGCCACACATCTCAACATTCTCCAATTCCACATGAGTATTAAAATAGAGATCATTAAACTTACAGTAACTAAAATTAATAAAACTATAATGGGGTGACATAAAGTATTCGTGATCTCAGTTGCGGTTGGTGACCATCCAAATAGTGCATCCCACCAGTTATGACTTGTATCTTGTTTTAATCTTTGCAGGACTCTGTTACTCATGATGGACAGTTACTAGAGTTCTCTGCCCATTCTTTTGAATCTCTTTTACAATTTTGATTAGATCTTGATGTTTCATTATTTGTTTCACTAGGGTTAAATTCATTCCAATGGGTGTGGGTGGTAACTCGTTGTACGTTGTGGAGTTTGATTTTATTAACTGGTGGGATATGACTGGTGCTGAATATACAAAGTCACACCTAGCAACCTTAATAAAGTTGCAAATCCAAAAATTGGAATGATTCTTAGCAGATAAGGGTACCTTGCTCTTATCAG